TTGCTGTCTCATGGTACAGCAAAAATGGCACCAGGGGAGCCTGATGCTGCGTTGGCTGTGCCGCAGCATGTCAACAGTCAGCTGTGCCTCACAGGTGGGGTGGGGTGGGTGCAGACAGCACTGCTTTGCAGCTGCAGCATCTTTCCCTACCACTGGCAGCACCTGAGCCAGAAGTGACTCAACTTTAAGATACTGACAGAAGTCACAAGCACTTCTATTTAAAATCATAGTATTTCAAAGGTGAACTAAGCTGACTATACCACATGCCACAGAGATCCATAGTCTGGTGTATGGAGTCACTTTGCAGAAGATTTAAAGCAATGTTTTACCATAAGTGATGAAAAGGAAAGAAAGTATGTTGAGACTAGAGGGAGGAACAACAAGATTTAGCAAGGGTCCAGAAGTGTCAGGGTCCACAAGGCCGGGGGCTCACTGAGGCAGCAGGGCAGGGCCTGGTAGCCCAGGCTGGTCCCACGACCCCAACCAGGACCAGGGCAGCCAGGAGGGACCAGAGCAGCCCCAGGTATCAGGCATCTGCCTGGACACAGGGATAGGCTGATGCTGGATTTGGATTCTGCCCATGGGTGAGTGTCAGGATTATACACAGTGGGGGAACTGGAGTCAGACATGGCTCTAGGATGGTTGTGCTGGGCCTCCCCGCAGTGCTATCTGGGGGGCCTCCATGGGCCCATGGATACCAGAAGGGATGTGGTGTGGCCCTTATCAGAAGTGTAAAGATAGCAGAATGCCACATAATGATAGTGACTCCTTTTCTTGCTCCAGTTTGTCAAATCCTCCAGAACATAATAATCTTGCTGCTTATATAGTTTGCAACATATAAATAATTTTTTATTGGTGATTCCAAATGGTTTAGATCTTTCAGGAAGTTCATAGATTTGAATGCAGTGGTGTACTTGCTTATGTCCTTTCTGACAAAATGTGGGTGTAACAGATCACATTACGGAGGATCACTAGTGCATAGATGTAGGAGATTACCTTTTTCTATTGAGAAACTGTCGGCTATAGGTAATGATGCAGGAACATTTTAAGTGTTTCTACTCAAGAGTAATTTCTAGGATATCTGATACTTTTAACTGAGTTGTATATAAAGCATGGTGATTTTGTTCTTGTCTGTTTTCTCTACATTTCTGTAAATAAATTTTAAACTTAGTCATAGTTTGCAATTTATGTCTTATTAGTTAATAGATTTTAAGTAAGTTGATAATATTATGCTTGCTGGTAGAAAAATGATACTTTTCACAAAATATCACATCCTTGTCCTTTACTTCCTTTCAAGTTTAAAAGATGAGAAAATAAGCTATGTTAGATGAAATTTTGTGTTAATTGTTAACAAAGAAGACATTTGTTAGTTATTGTGATAGATAAGCTCATAAAAATGTAGATAGATTGGAGAGACATCAATTTGATAGGTGGACCACTCAGTGGATAAAGAACTGGCTGGATGGCCACACACAAAGAGTTGTGGTCAATGGCTCAATGTCCAGCTGGAGACCAGTAATGAGTGGTGTCCCTCAGGGATCGTGTTGGGACCGGTCTTGTTCAGCACCTTTGGCGCTGACATGGACAGTGGGATTGAGTGCACCCTCAGCAAGTTTGCCAATGACACCAAGCTGTGTGGTTTGGTTGATACCCTGGAGGGAAGGAATGCCATCCAGAGGGACCTTGACATGCTTGTGAGGTGGGCTGATGCCAACCTCATGAAGTTTAACCATGCCAAGTGCAAGGTCCTATACCTGTGTCGGAGCAATCCCAGGCACAGCTACAGGTTGGGCAGAGAGGAGATTCAGAGCAGCCCTGCGGAGAAGGACTTGGGGGTGTTGGTCCATGAGAAACTCAACATGAGCCGGCTTCAGTGTGAGCTCTTGCAGCCCAGAAAGCCAACTGTATCCTGGGCTGCATCAAAAGGAGCATGACCAGCAGGTCGAAGGAGGTGATCCTGCCCCTCTACTTTGCTCTCCTGAGACCTCACCTGGAGTATTGTGTGCAGTTCTGGTGTCCTCAACATAAAAAGGACATGGAACTGTTGGAACAAGTCCAGAGGACCACGAGAATGATCAGGGGAGTGGAGCACCTCCCGTAGGAAGACAGGCTGAGCAAGTTGGAGCTGTTCAGCCTGGAGAAGAGAAGGCTGCGTGGAGACCTCATAGCAGCCTTCCAGTATCTGAAGGTGGCCTATAGGGATGCTGGGGAGGGACTCTTCCTTAGGGACTTTAGTGATAGTACAAGGGGTAACAGGTTCAAACTTAAACAGGGGAAGTTTAGATTGGATATAAGGAGGAAGTTCTTTACCGTGAGGGTGGTGAGGCACTGGAATGGGTTGCCCAGGGAAGCTGTGAATGCTCCATCCCTGGCAGTGTTCAAGGCTGGGTTGGACAGAGCCTTGGGTGACATGGTTTAGTGTGAGGTGTCCCTGCCCATGGCAGGGGGTTGGAACTTGATGATCTTAAGGTCCTTTCCAATCCAAACCATTCTATGATTCTATGATAGATGATGTGGCAATTCTACTCTTTCATATAACTGTATTAGTTTATTATTCTTGCCACTTTATAGGCTCTCTCAAAGGTCAGTAGAGGGAAACAGGTACCTCCCATTATTGATTATCCTACGCTAAACTGCTGAGATGGTGCTTTTGACCTGTCTTGTTCAAAGGCCACCATATGATGGCGAATAAAACTTGTGCTTCTAAAATACCCAGATTCAGCATTACTGAGCTCTCTCCTGATGAAAAATTACTTGGTTACCTCTGGATAGTGATCTTTTCTGCAGTGAGATAAAAGCGGTGTTTGTATCATAGCAATGACTGAGTGTTGAGTAATATGCCAGAAAACTTCTGAGCTTTGTGAGTCATCCAACCTGAGGTGGTGTGGCAATCCTCTGGGCTGATCTGGGGGAGAGAGCAGGAAGCATTTCAGAACGTTTCTGATCACTCCTATAATCATCTTGAAGTGACCCAGGAGGTCTTTGTAATCAAGTTTCTACAACATCAAAAACATTATTTGTGTTGAGCAAAGAAATGTTCTTACACACTAACGGAAGCAGGCAACCGCCAGAGGAGTCAGAATCAGTCTGCTTTTTGAGGTTAAGTTTTCCAAAGATTTTCATTTGAGGGTGTAATTTTGAGGGCAGAAGTGGCTTAGAAAGTTTCTTTTTCACAAATTTTCTTCTAAACAGATTTGAAAACAATGTATCTTATTTCTGAAAATTCCACTAAGGAATAGGTCATGTATACTATAGTTGTGGAGATATTTCTGAATTTGAAAATTAATCCATAAACCAAAAAACTCAGGACTGTTTAATATTTTTGCAGCTTTCATGCTGACAGCGTATAACAGGTTTGTGGAAATCTTCTGGTCAACACTTCTTGATATCAAGTAGCATTTACAACTTTGAAGCTTAAATTTTCTTCCTTCCTATTTTCGGCTGCCTTAAGAACACTGACAAACTAGCAGAGCACATGAGTTTTTTAAGGATTTAAGGAGAACAGTTAAGTCCTGTATATGATTAAGCAGTGTCCAGGTATTAGAAAGCGGTGAAGGCTGTTCTTGGCTGATGGACTTAAGCAGGGTATGTCAGATACTGGTACGGTTAGAGATTATTTAAATGAAGGTCTTTGAGAAGGCTAGTGATACAGAGGCTGAGTTAGATTGCTACCTAAACATGGTTAGGAACTGTCAGTGGGCTCTGAAATAAAGCAGCATAAGCTGTTGAGAAAAAAACTTGCCCAAACCCCCGCCCAGGTAATCATGCCTCAGCTAGCTACCGAGCATGTTCCCTGGAGCAGGCTGTCCTGTGAACTGTGTGGCAGAGAGTGCTAATTTGCCATCCCAAGGAGAAGGCTATCAGTTAATTAACATGGATGATAAGCAGTGTGGTGCCTGGGATCACTCCTTGGCTCTGTTCCACTGAGCAGTTTAGCTATAAACAGAAGTATCCTTTCTGGAGTGAGAAGCTTTTCTCTGCAGGTTTCGGACTCACTAGTGGGCATTGCTGATTGATCCAAAGGCAAATTGTGATTTAGTCTCATTCAGTGGGTTGTCTGCTCCTCTTGCTTTGCTTTATAACACAAATTGATGGGAGCCCCTCTGTTGGAGCATTGACAGAACTTGATGCCTGAAATGTCAGGTAAAACACCAGCTTATACCTCATTTTCTTTCACATAGTCTTACTGCATATTTTTATAAGATAAAGACAACTTCTGAGCAACCTAGCTGAATAATCTGGTTCTGTGTGTACAGAAAAAAAAATGCCCTGGCACAAAGTCACAAGTAACATTCAACAGAAATAAATAAATAAAAAAACAAATAAATAAATTTTAATATATATACAGCAGCTTATCAAATCCAGATCTCTTACCTTTTTCTCTTGGGTGCCATGGGTGAGTTAGTTTTGCAGCAGTCTGTATTTGTTTTTATGAGAACTATAATTCTTTCTTTCCATGCTGCACAAAAAGGACTATTTTCCCAGAAGAGCTTAGATGAAAATACGAAGCTATAGTCACAGACTTTAGCTTTTCTTCAGATTCTGTTCCAGTTCACTCTCTTGTGCCACAGTAATAGTTTCAAGATGATATGACTCGTCTTGCATCTGGATGGTTTACAGCAACAAATCTTTTCTGAACCAGGAGGCAGCAAATGCTTACCTCTGGAGGCTTAATGAGCTCATTCTAATAACCAAAAGACCTATTTACATGTCAGTAATGTCTATATAAGCTGGGTTTACTAAAATCCTCAGCCAACTAGAAGATGCACTGGCTCTCGCATCTTGGAGGAACATTAACACTTGCAACTTCTCATTTTGATTATTCCAAGTATTCATCAGGTATCATTCAGAAGTTGGTCACAGCAGCAAGGAGTGATGGGCCTGAATACTAAACCCTGTCTTTCTAAGTTTGGAAAACAAACAAGTCTCTATGGCAGGGTGATACATCTGCTTCTTCCTAAATGATTTGGAATAGATTGTGAAGTTTTTTGCATTTGCAGAGCCTACCATGTAATTGAACAGCACCAAAGGACAATCTCCTGTATGATGTGGGGAGGGCAGGTATTACAGAAAGTATGCAAAAAAGTCATCAGGAAAAAAGCACAGCTGTTTGGAAGGGAAAGCACCTCGCTGGACCTGCAGGAGAGCTTACTATAAGAAGTGAAACAGAGAGCTATTGAGAGAAACAAAGCCACCAAACAAGGTATTTTGCTTTTTAATGTCACAGCTCTTATGGGTGTGTGGTATTTGTGGGAATAGATGCCATATTTTATAACTTCAGCAGACAGCATCCAGGACACAATATGTTATTTCATTAATGCCTCTGCCCCACCTGCATAAGACAGTCATAATATCCTTTATAGACCATTTCTTAGCTTTACATTTATCCTTAAGAAGCTGCTGTTTTTTTAATATGCACGTCTGATGTAAGATGTGTGCTGGCCCCCAAACTGAAAATCAAATCTCATTATTACTGTAAAAGATATGTGCCTTGAAGAATATGAGTATTCCAGAGAAGAAATAGAAAACATTAAGTTAATTTACTAGACAGTAACTACTTAGTCTACTTAGCTATTTGCAACCTGTCAACTATTTACTATTAACGAATTGACCAAGATGTTTAGATGATGGCACTGGAATAGCTGCCTATCCAGTTTTCAATCCCTAATTGCTTAGTTGGCTGCTTCACATTATGTAGATTTTTTTTTTACTGTGCTGTTTAGTAAGTTTGACATTTGTTTACTGAATTTACTAATACTGAAAGCTAAAGCTTGCAAAGACACAAGGTCTTCCACATCTTCTGTAACTTGCTAACTAGTGCAAACAGAACCTTCTGGATTAGGAGTGAGTGTACAGGTTTGCAGTATCTACTGCTCTAAAAAGGAGCATTTCCACAGGTGTGATTTATCAATATTAAGGTTGAGGTCCTCAGAGCATCTGAATTAATGTTGCTTCACTGCTAACTTATCTTTCACATATTGCATATCTAAAACTTGATAAGAAATGAAGTTCACAATATCACTGCTAACCCCTCATACTTCTTTTTTTTTCTCCACCACCACCACCCCCCCCCCTCCCCCCCAAGATGTTGCAGTTGAGAGTGAGAAGACATTACTTACTTGTGGTCATACAACAACAGAAAGAGGCCAGAGGAGAAGTCAACTGCATAGCAACTGAACTTTGGAAGAACAGAAGACTGAGGGACCATGTCTTCCACCTTTTATTCGAGGATTCATAAAAATAGCCTGAATTGGAAAAGCCCAGGAGAATAAGGAAGGGGAAGAGAATAAACAAGAATAGGATTGTGGACCCCTTTGACTTTCCATAAAGAGTGTATGCTCAGCATATCAAAACATTACTAAAAACTAAGGGGTCAATAGCAAAAAAAAAAGTACTGCAGAAGAAAGTAAGATAGAAAGAGCAAATTATCTCCTAGGATTGGCTTTTTGAAGAATGACATTTAGCAAAATGCTTGGCCAAGTTGTGAATTTTCTTGTATTGCCAATGTCCCTGGTCAAGTGTGCTTTTTATCAAATTTGAATTTGCAGAGAAGTGGAGCACTTCTGTTCACTGTGAAAAGGCGGGGGGGGGGGGGAACAAAACACCAAACAAAGGTGGGAAATACTTTCTTTAAAACCAAACTGCCACTTATCCAACAAAATATGCAAAAAAAAAGCCTCATGCATAACATCATTTCTTGTGCAGCTCGTTACATTCCATGAGTATTCTGCTTCTGCTTTTAAAACAAGAAAGCTGAGAACGTTCTGGAGGAGTCTGTGCTTTCCAGAAGGCCCGGTCCTCCAAGTTCCTGTAACATTTCCTTATTGGCTTCTCTCATTAGAAACAAAACAAAACAAAGACAAAAAAAAAAAAGAAACAACAAAAAGCACACAAAAAAAAAAAGCCACAAACTTCTCTTTCTTTCCTGCTGTCATACAGACATAGGTATCTGTATTTTAAGATGTTCGAGTTGCTGTAATGCATCTAGTTTTTGCTTTTTAAAGAATGATATCCATGTTTGTCCCCACACTCTGCTTTTCTGCCAACATGCCAGTCTGAAGTGGCCTATGCCTGCCTGTTTACCATGTAAACATCATAGTGTGGCTGCCCTTCAGGGAATAAAAGTAAATCTTTCAAGACAATCTGAACTTTCAATTCTTGGTAACCCCATTCTCCTATGACTGTAGGAAAGTTAAGCACAGACTCACTGTTTTTGTCTGAGTTATGGCAGGACTGTAAGAAAACATGAAGACGGTATCACAGTTTTGCTGCTTGTGAGCAAAGACTAGGTTTTCTCTGAAACCATTTCTTTATATCCATAGGCTATTTGCCTTTCATATTATCTGTCTTCTTGTGGAGAAGGGTGAATAAGGAGAAGTCACCTACTGGCAAATTTTCATGTTATTGTTTATGATGAATCATGAGACTGAATTACAGGAAATACATGAATTATAGAAATAATCAATTTTCACATTCTGCTAAAATTAAGATCTGTTTTAATAATTTTGTCCATTAATAAGTGCTGTCTGTGCAGTGCATTGCACTGCCCACTCTCTCTTTCTCTCTTTACCTCTTACTTGAAAATGTTCTGTCTGTATGAGATGCCTGATTTCACATTTCCTCTTCTTCCTGCATTACTGTGTTTCTCAGGCCATCCTCAAAGTCATCTACTTACATCCTCAAAGTCATCTTCACTTAACGGAGAGTTTGTGGGTCAGGGTTAAAGGGAGAACAGCTATGGGGGACATTACTGTAGGGATCTGTTACAGACCGCCTGATCAAGAGGAATCTGTGGATGAAGTACTCTATAAAAAGATAGGAACAGCCTCACGCTCGCAGGCCCTTGTCCTTATGGGGAACTTCAACCACCTTGATACTTCTTGGAGGGACGGTACGGCCCAGCACAAGCAATGCACGTGGTTCCTCGATTATGTGGAAGACAACTTCCTCCTGCAAGTAATAGAGGAGCTGACAAGGAGACATGCCATGCTTGACCTCATGCTCACCAACAGGGAGGGCTGGCTGGAAATGTGACAGTCCAAGGCAGCCTTGGATGTAGCGATCATGAGATGGTCAAATTCAAGATCCTCAGGACAGTGAGAAGAGCGTTCAGCAAGCTCACTGCCCTGGACTTCAGGAGAGCAGACTTTGGCCTCTTCAGGAACCTGCTTAGTAAGGTCCCAGAGGATACAGCCCTAGAGGGCAGGGGGGGGCAAGACTGTTGGTTGATATTCAAGGATCACCTGCTGCAAGCTCAGGAGTGTTACACCCCAACCAGAAGGAAGTGCAGCAGGAGGGCCAGGAGACCTCCTTGGATGGATAAGGAGCTGCTGAGGAAAATTCAGATGAAAAAAGAGGCTTATGAAAGGTGGAAGCAAGGACAGGAAGCCTGGGAAGAGTACAGGGATGTTGTCCAGGAAGCTAGGGACCAGGTTAGGAAAGCTAACTGTAGGAGAGGGTCTGTTTCAAGACCATTTTAAGAACCTGCACAAGTCCATGGGACCTGATGAAACCCATCTGCGGGTCCTGAAGGAGCTGGTGAATGAAGTTGCTAAGCAACTGCCCATCATATTTGAAAAACCATGGCAGTCAGGTGAACTTCCCGACAACTGGAAAAAGGGAAATATAACCCCCATTTTCAAGAAGGGGAAAATGGATAAGCCAGGGAATTACAGAGCAGTCAGTCTCACCTCTGTGCCCAGTAAAATCTTGGAGCAGGTTCTCCTGGAAGGCATGCTAAGGCACATGAAAAACAACAAGGTGCTTGGTGACAGCCAGCATGGCTTCACTAAGGGGAAATCCTGCCTGACCAATTTGGTGGCCTTCTATGATGGGGCTACAGAACCGATGGACAGGGGTAGAGCAGTTGATGTCATCTACCTGGACTTGTGCAAAGAGTTAGACACTGTCCCACACAACATCCTTGTCTCTAAAATGGAGAGACATCAATTTGATGGATGGACCACTCAGTGGATAAAGAACTGGCTGGATGGCCACAAACAAAGAGTTGTGGTCAATGGCTCAATGTCCAGCTGGAGACCAGTAACAAATGGTGTCCCTCAGGGATCAGTGTTGGGACAATGTCGCTGACATGGACAGTGGGATTGAGTGCACCCTCAGCAAGTTTGCTGATGACACCAAACCATGTGGTTTGGTTGATGCACTGGAGGGAAGGAATGCCATCCAGAGGGACCTTGACATGCTTGTGAGGTGGGCTGATGCCAACCTCATGAAGTTTAACCATGCCAAGTGCAAGGTCCTACACCTGTGTTGGAGCAATCATAGGCACAGCTACAGGTTGGGCAAAGAGATTCAGAGCAGCCCTGCAGAGAAGGGCCTGGGGGTGTTGGTCAATGAGAAACTCAACATGAGCCGGCTTCAGTGTGTGCTTGCAGCCCAGAAAGCCAACCGTATCCTGAGCTGCATCAAAAGGAGTGTGACCAGTAGGTCAAAGGAGGTGATCCTGCCCCTCTACTTTGCTCTCCTGAGACCTCACCTGGAGTATTGTGTGCAGTTCTGGTGTCCTCACCATAAAAAGGACATGGAACTGTTGGAACAAGTCCAGAGAAGGACCACGAGGATGATCAGGGGAGTGGAGCACCTCCCGTAGGAAGACAGGCTGAGCAAGTTGGAGCTGTTCAGCCTGGAGAAGGCTGCATGGAGACCTCATAGCAGCCTTCCAGTATCTGAAGGGGGCCTATAGGGGTGCTAGGGAGGGACTCTTCATTAGGGACTGTAGTGATAGGACAAGGGGTAACGTGTTAAAACTTAAACAGGTGAAGTTCAGATTGGATATAAGGAGGAAATTCTTTACTGTAAGGGTGGTGAGGCACTGGAATGGGTTGCCCAGGGAAGCTGTGAATGCTCCATCCCTGGCAGTGTTCAAGGCTGGGTTGGACAGAGCCTTGGGTGACATGGTTTAGTGAGAGGTGTCCCTGCCCATGGCAGGGGGTTGGAACTTGATGATCTTAAGGGCCTTTCCAACCCTAATTATTCTATGATTCTATTATACTTGAATTATGAATATGAATTTTAAAATTACAAGTAATGAAGAAAAGATTACTCAAATAAATTGTTTTCAATGATTACTAGTCCAGCTGTTTCACCTTGCAACTGTATGTACTTGTTTTTTAGACTTCACAGAGAATGGTCTCCTTGTTGTTTCTTGGGTAGAGAGAGAAAACATTCAAAAGCTATCATCTCTAAATTTCACACTGAGGTCCTGGCTCTTAGAACAACTTTTCTCCTTCCTCTGGAGCATATCTTAAATAGATTTCTTTTGGGGGAATTCACAGCTTCTTCTTGAAGCACTATCACATCAGCCATTTGTTATTGATTAAGTGTAGAAATATTAGCACATCTCCAATTTAAAGGTTGCTTTTCTCATGCAGGTTTCTTTCTGTTTCTAGTGACTACCCAGCAGTAGGGAACAGTTTTAGTGGACATTAAGTGATCCGTGCCCGGACCACTTCACTGATTGTAGGTCTAAAGCTATACTGTTGGGTTGATGGAGCATATCTGCTTCAGCTTATATTATGACTTAAGGCTTCATGGTAAATTAACAGTCCGAAAGGTTACAAGTAATCTTTCTGCACATGACCAAATGCAACAAATTAAGTCTTTCTTTCGCTGCTTCATGGTCTATTTGAATAGAGATCTGTGACCCTATTGTTTATCCAAATACATAGTGCATAATAATTTTATGCAAATGATGACTCACTTTGTCTTTTATTTTTACAAGAAATTGCCATAAAGCTAAAGCGAAAATGTTCTTACACTAAACTCATTGGCACAAAATTACTTTTCTTGTGTTTGTACTGTAAGTCATGCAGTTGTAAAAATGCTGAACTCTTTGAGAAACTCTTTGAGAAAAACTTAATAAAACTGGAAGACTACATAAAATTGACTGATTGTACTCTCTCATACCTAAAAATACATGTAAATAATATAATCATAAGGAAGGTTGTGAACATTGGCTATTATGAATGATACTATTCTTGCTTTAAAGTATTTTTACTCTTGCTTTACAAGCTTTGTACCTGATATTGGTGATGACTAGAAGCTTCAAATAATTTGTGGCAAATAATGGATTTAATTAGTCTCTTTCTGCATGTGATTTTGTCATGAACATCTTATAATTTTCTCAAATATATTCATGAGATAATTTCTCTAAGTTTTAGTGTATATGTTTTTTCAGAACTGCAAATATTTGAAATTCAATATCTAAGATGTTTTAAAGAGCTTTGATTGGATGTATGAGTCATACAGTATTTTTCTGTTCCAGGACTAGTTAAAAGAACTTATAAATTTTCATGACTAGTCACATTTACAAGTTCAAAATTTGCTGTTCTTATTTTCTACCATTGTTTTTAAAAGGTCCTTTTCTGTGAACTATTCTGCTACTTGACTCCTTTGCCTGAAAAGGCACACAAAATTAGCCTCAAAATTAGTTTTCATACAACCACAGCAGAGTCAGCATTTTAAATATTTCTGGAAATTCTATTCAGGTAGATATATGTCTCATCAACTGGCCTTTTCAAATGTGGTTTGAAACCCTTTGTTTGAAGTGACT